TTCCTATATATATATTCCATCTTCTTATCATTCATCTGTCCATGGACACTTAGGTTGCTTCCATGTCTTGGCTATTGTAAATAGTGCTGCTGTAAACGTTGGGGTGCATATATCTTTTCCAATTAAGAGTTTTCATCTTTTCTGGATGATTGACCCAGGAATGGGATTGCTGAATCCTGCCATAACACTATTTTTATTTTTCTAAGGAACCTCCGTACTGTTCTCTATAGTGGCTGCACCAATTTACATTCCTGTCAACAATATAGGAGCATTCCTCTTTCTCTGCACCCTCTCCAGCATTTATTATTTGTAAACTTTTTGATGGTGACCATGCTAGTGTGCAGTAACACCTCACTGTAGTTTTGGTTTGTATTTCTCTAATAATTAGTGATGCTGAGCATCCTTTCACGTGCCTGTTGGCCATCTGTATGTCTTCTCTGGAGAAATGTCTATTAAGATCTTCTGCCCATGCTTTGATTGGGTTGTTTTTTTTATACTGAGTTGTAAGAGCTGTTTCAACATCTGTTCTTAAAATTAGCTCACACCAGGCTGAGAGTGTTATCTGTCAAGCCATTGGCCAATCCATCCTCCAAAGCGCGGCATTTTTGTAGAATCATAGCCTCATGACAGACCTTCAGAAGACCTTTTGTATTTCATCACCAAAGGAGCCAAACAGGTTTCATCAGACTTCCATGATCTGGGCCTCGTTTCCCAGGCAATCCTGAAGCATATCATTCTTTATCTGGAAGGAGCACAGTTAGCAAAGGCAAGTATTGGCCTTTGTGAGTTTACATTGCTTATGAACTTACTAAATCGCTGAATTTTCCCCTCCTAGTTTTAGCGCTGACCGGCTTTGCCTCTTTTGCTGCGTGCCTAGTGCCATCTTGTGGCCATAATGCGTATAACACTCACTTACTCCAATGGCGCTGAGGCCGTGGTTTATGAGCATGCACTCAGGTCATTGCGCTTCTGCTATTCCATCTGTTTCTGTGGTCCAGAGGATCTCCACGTGGAGAAACCTGTGAATTAGCACCAGGTGAACGTACACATAGTTTCCTGCTAAGCCAACTCAACTAAGGCTCCATCTAGAAAGAATATATTCAGAATCATTTATGATGTTTGTTTTGCGTGTTTCCCCACTTTTTTCATAGCAGTACCCCAAGGGCTGTTTTCCTCTCCTTAACCCAGTTTTTTTTTTTTTTCCCTCTGAGAAAGAGCCCTGGGGTGATGGTGGGCGTGGTCCTTGGAGGGGTTGGAAAAGACAAAGCTTGAAACTACTTCCAACTCAAGAAAGCTGTGAAAGCAAGCTTCCTGCTAGAAGAGGCGGAAAGCTGTAGATGAGGGGAAGTAATGGGGTATCTGGGTTCCGTCCCAGCGTCAGCCTTGGGTGAAAGGACAGAATAATAAAACAAACCTCTAGTACAGGGAGTAAAATCTCTTGATAATCCAAGCAAGCGGCATCTAGACTCTGCAATAAGCAGAAGGGATGTTGAGTCACTGCAGACAGTCCCCATTCTGCACTAAAACCTCCCTCAGTCCCTTCTCAGAGTTCTCTGATTAAGCCTTTACAACGAGAACCAACCTGGGCTTGAGATGCAGCAAGTTAGAGGCTGCAAATTAAATGAAAGACAGACGGGTGAGACACTGACACCACTGTTCACTCACAGGTATAGGAAATCTACTTGGAAAATGCTGTTGGATTTTCAAAATTCACAGTTGTCCTGTTTGGGTGTATCAGGAGAAGAAAGCAGCCGAGAGAGTCAGGGAGTGTCCCCGGGGGAAGTAGATGGAAGTGAGGAGAGTTTAATGGATCAAATACAAAAGGTAAGGCAGGTGGGGGAAACCTCACGGGATGGTCCAGGAATCTGCGTCTGGCAGCACGTGGCGGGGGGCAGTCACCACCGACGGCCTCCAGGTGCAGAGAGGGGGAGGGTCCTTGAACCCAAATGGGGAGGTGCTGTGCAGAGACGCCTGGCAGGTGCTGGCAGTAGGAAATGGGAAGAAATGCCATGACCCACTTTTCTCTTTCTTCATCCATCTCCAGTCTTAATGGGTGGCCCGTGCTGCACATTGCATTCTGGCTTAATGCTTATTCAGTCATCAAACTGCTTTCTTTCTCTTCTACCTTTTTCCAGGTTGGCATGCGAACAGTAAGTGTACGCTAGCATGGTGATGCTAATGTTAGGCATAGCAAATTTCAAGACAAAGAATATAACCAGAGATAAAGAGAGACATCCTGTAAGTCAATTTTTCAGAAAGGCACAATAAATCTTAATGTGTTTGTACCTAATGACACAGGTATAAATAATAAGTTTCAAAATACAGGAAGTAAACAGAGAAAGAATTAAAGGAGAAACAGGCAAACACACAATCATTTGGAGACTAACTATCCTCCCTCAATGATTAATGGAAAAAGTAGATAAAAGAAGTCAATAATGATGCAGAGGATTTGAGCTACACGAACATAGTGCAACTAGGAAATGTTGGTATGTTAAAGAAGTTAAGATTTAATTATCTGAGAGTTGTTATCTGAAACATCTCATTTCTAGATACTAGATAAGCAATGTCTTATTGTATAAAGTTTGATGTGGTGGTGATTGGAATATTGGGTCTGGACAGATTCATGAGGTCAAC